TTCATGGCGGAAACCTTTCTTCTGAGGCGGGGCCGAGCACGGGGGTGGCAAACGCTGCTCCTTTGGGCGGCAGAGCTCGGCCGGGCCGTGGTTTCTTGGTTTCGGTTGGGGAGCCTTCGTGCTGCTCCCTTGTTGCCCGAAGCCCCGTGCTGCAGCGGCCGCGGGGTGAGGCCACCAGGCCCGGCCACAGCCGCAGCCGCGGGCTCATGGGTGGCCCAAGGTACCGGGGTCCTGTGTGGAACTACCAAACCCGGCAAAGTGCAGTGGCAGCCAACGTTCAACTCGCTCAGAGCTGAGGGTTGGGTAGAAAAAAACCCAGACTGCTGGGCTCGCTAGTTCCTTCGTTCAGGTGTTTCATCCACCTCGGTGAAGCAGCATTATCTCCCTTGTCCACAGCACTTCAGCAGCTCTCCAAAATTGGGGGGTGATACGCTTGTTTCCATAACCGTAGCTTACGTAAACTTTGTTCTTCAAATAACACAGTTTCTCAGGACTGGAGTTAGGAAAAAAATAGCTCAGATAGTTAAACTATATAGTCAGAAAACAGCCAAAGTTGGTGTTCGGGCTTCAAATGTGATAGTTCCAACACAAATGGAGGACACCGAAGCTTCAGGACCATTCACTGCGTGATAACGTGAACATGTAGAAGTTAGCTTACAAAAACAGTGTTGTACAAAGATTGAATCTAAATGGCGAGTGTTATGAAAATCATAAATGATTAAACTTAGTAAGGTGTTACTTTAATGCCAACAATGCGATCAGCAAAATCGCACGTGGTTGATAAATGATTGTGTCCTACAAGTGGTCCCTTTCTGTTCACGGGTGGTCTCTGAGGGATGAAGTGCCTTATTCAAATTCATTTCACCCTGACTTAGAGCTTGGCGGTGTTCGCATTTCGTGCGTCCTAGTTTGAGACCCGTGCACAGAAGTAAAGCTTTTTGTGTCACTACTTTCTAGAAGTGCAGTACTGTGGATGTAAAAGAATAGTTGAAGAGTAAAGGCATATTTTACCAACTGATGTTGGCTCACTATGTGACTTCAGCTCATGTTACTCACTTTATCTCTGTTCCTCCATCTATAGGTAGAGATAATACATCGCTGTCCAAATAAAGACAGAGAACACTGGATTTTCTGCAAAAGCTCTCCATTGATGAGGAAAGAACAGGCAGGCTGGGAAGCCATTAACTTTCATTTGCTTATCATCTTCTTAGGTTGCACATTATGTGCTTAAGTACAACAAAAAAGTCAGCGAGTGGCTAACTAAAGCTAATCAAAGCAGCAAATACAGATTTTTTAGGCAGTTTCTCCCCCAGCTCAGTGTTGTGCTTCAGGTCCTTGGGACAGAAAGGACCCAATAAAAGGGAGTTAGCTGCACAGCATTTATCATCGTCAGTGTTCTGCAAGGCTAGTATTACATAAAACATTCAGCTCTGGCAAAATTTAACCTTCTCCAGTTCAAATATAACCTTCTCCAGTGTGTAACGTAGTCTTTTAAGTTTGATAGCAAGACAAGAAAGAAAAAGATACGCCGAAAAGCAGTAGTAAAGGAAATCTGGAAGAACGGCATATGAATTATCTTACTGCTCTCCAGTATAATTTTTAAGATCTGAGTATTTAGGCAGTTATTTACAATGATGAGAACTCTGCTCAGACCAGATTTTTATGAGATGAATAAAAAATGTACTTGAAATGAATACTAATTAAAGACATTCTTCATGGAAGTCCCTTGAAAAAAGGGCTAGAGTCTCAGAAAGGGCATTTTGAAGCAGCTGTGGATTATGTTGAAAAACAGATTGCATTCAGTTTACAATACTGCAAAAAGAGGTAGTATAAACATTGTCTCACAAAGTGGATCAATTTAACCATCTTAAAAATACTTGAAAGAAGAGAGAATTTTAATACATAGACATATTATTTAAAGAAATTTTGTGTCAAGTGTTTATTAAAACTGTAGGTTATTAAAGTGGAAATAACTTTAAAAAATCATATAAACAGCTTAAGGGGGAAAAATGAGTTATTTTCACATTCCAACAACATTTGAATTAGTAATACTACAAGGAAATGTTTAAACTTTATTTTAAAATAATATCTTGTTTGGAAATAAAGATAAACACTTGTTTCTCTTGAGTTTTCTAAGTCCTGTATCGCAATGTCGTATCTAAATTTTAGAACTAATTCAACTTTTGCTGATCTGTTGCTTTGTTTCACTGGCTTCTTGTTCATCCTAGACGCTTAAACACAGCAATAGAAATATGAAGTACCGAGTGTCTGAAAGTAAAAAGGGAATCCTGGTGTCTAAAAACATTTTTTTCCAGAATAACCAGTACACTCAGAGATGCCTGACAATTTCCAAGAGGGAAAAAGGAACTTGTGTGACTACATTTATGTAAAAGTCCATGAAATTATTATTTATTTCTTCTCTCAGAAGAGTAAGTGTGTGCACTTAGCCCCCCAACTAATGTAGTTTACATTACTACTGTGGAGAAATTGTGGCTGCAGATCTAACAATGATACATTTGAGTAACCTTCCAAAAGTTTTTGAAGGATTGAAATGTATAAACACATAAACCAGCTACATAGGTGAGCAAATCATATAATTTTTTTACTGGGCTGTATTTTAGACTTTGCTAATACACTCACCTAGCAACAGGAATTAAGTCGTCTTTTTTAGCTAGGGAACTGAAAAGAATTAACTTGAAAATGAATTGGTTTTTTTGTGAGGCAATGTGAAAAATGTCCCCCTGGACCACTTCTTTTTGCACTGCTTGCATCTTCGTGCTTGGCTGAGGGATAGATTTGTTATCTCTAGCAAACCTTAGTGGAAAGAGTTTGGCTGTGCTGTAATAACAAGGCTGAGCTCTGAAGAATATGCGTAGCCTGTTACATTCTTAAAACATGCCAAATTAATCCCTTAAGTAATACAACTAAAATGAAACAGGGAGGAGTTTTAGTCCGTTATGTCTAAAAAAGTATCCTTTTATAACCCCAAGGATTTATTTCTTAACAGTTGTGAGCTATTGGTTTTGCAAAGGTAGCACCCAAAGATAGTAAACATACATATGATTTTTAAGTAACTTCTTTGCCCCTTGCCTTCCATTCAAATACATGGGTGTTTTGGAAATAGGTGGATTGCTAATCTGTTGAACTAAGGAGATTTGTCTCAAGCCATTCATGTATATCCCTCTAAAACTGCCTTTGCTTTCCATTCCCGGGCACTCAATGCAGGAGCCATCTTTGACATGACATCTAATGAGAATCGTGCTAACTGCCCTTGTTAGGCTTGAGGTACAAGGTACGCATTCAGCTCATGTCCTTGGTAGCTCAACTGTGTAGGTGCTGATCCAGTTTATACTAACAGCTGTTTGTCTGCTTGTGTACCCTGACACTATGAACTCCGTTAGACAAGGGCCAGTATGGTGTTGAGAGCAGAGGTACCTCAGTGGAAATACATGATCTGTTTTGTGAAGTAGCTGAGTGGTTACACTACATGGCATCATGATGGTAGACTAGGTGAATCCAGTGAGTAGCTGGATATTTCAACCTTTATCTTGGTGTCTGTTTTTATTATAGAGCTGTACAGGGTAGATTAAAGTAACTTAATTTTCCACCAGTTTAAAATGAGATGTTGGAGGAAAAAGGACAGCTGGTGTATTTCATAATGAACCATCTGGCATTTCTTGGTAGATCCTCTGATTCCTAATTTACTACTGAATTGTGACAGCATGAAAATCAAAATTATTGATTGTGTGGAATCAGTGTTTCCCTCTGGCACATTTTGTGCTCCTTCAGTTTCTGTCAAAGGATAGCCATAGGAGGGATAAGGACCTCTCACACTGAGCTTTGCAAAGCTTGAAAGTCATCTATAGCATTTGCCTTTTTTTTGGTAATCACGCCGCTTGACATTTATTCTGGAAGACCGACTTTCCAGATGATCACATCTGATCTGAACCTTACAGAAAGTGGCAATAATCAGTTTTAAGGTTCCACGAGGGAACTTCTGTGTTAGGTTCATATTCTGTTTTATTCCCTTTCATTTATGGCTCTTTTTTTAAACTTCCACTGCTAGGAGTTTAAGAAATAAACGAACTAGCTAGCTGGAATTTGAAATTCAAAAAATACAGATGCAGTAGAGGATTAACTAGTCAAATAGGAGACTACACATTCAGTCTCAATTTATTTTAAAATTCTCTAAATAAAGCATATCTTTGCTTTAATTAGATAGTACATAACCATGTACCTACCACTAAATCTGCCTTTAGAATCAGCTTCTACTGGCTGGATGAAAAAGATGTTGGA